TTTAATTTAATCAAATGTAAACCATATCACTATGGATTTATTAACTCTCTTTTAATTATACGCTTAATTAATTTAATAAAACTATAAGGGTGCAATTTGAACTTTTTCAAAACTTAGGGTTTTAGAATTTAACACCTTTTAAAATTAAACTTTTTAATTAAAATTTAAATTCCAAAACTTGAGGGCAAGTTTTGAAACATTTCAAATCATTAGGGTTTAGAATTTAAATGTTTTAAAATTAAACCTTTTAATCAAAAATTTAAATTTCAACACTTGAGGGCAAGTTTTGAAACTTTTCAAAACTATCTAGATCAAAAAAACAAATAAGGAAATTAAACAATTAATTTTGTGATTATCTAGTTTTGACCTAATCCAATTTCATGCAAGATAATTGACCAAATAATTCAAATAATTTAACATTTATCAAATAAGGTAACAATTATCTAATTAGATGACAAAAATCTTTTATTTTGAGAAGGATAATCATAAGGAATCAATAAAAATCGTATTTTATTAATTTGAAACAATTATGGCAATTATCCTAAGTCAAAATAGGCAGAAATCCTGAAAATTTGTCTGTTTGACAGCTGAACTCATTGAGCCCACTTTGGAACTCGCCGAGTTCATCAGACAGAAAGCATGAAAATCGATTTTAAAGCTTGAACAAATAAACAAGGTATCAATACAATAGAAACCAATCAAGTCTCTGATACCACTGATGGGTTTTGGCCATAAGAACATCCTATGTGCTCATGCAAACCCTAATGCTTGGATCTAGGTTTCTCTATTGTACATGCAATTCATCCAAGACTTTAAACCCTAGATCTAGCATGTGATAATCAATATTAACATAAGAATGGGGTTTAGATCTTACCTTGATTGTTATGTAGCAATAACATTCTCAAATCCTCCTTGTAATGGCTTTAGAAAGCATAGAGTCACAAGTGTCACTCCTCTAATGGCTCACAAACACCAAGAGCAAGAGGATGAAGAATGAGAAGAGAGGAGGTACCAAAAACGTGTTGAAACCCTAAAGAATCAGTTGACCACGTTTTTGAGTCTCAAGGGTCCTTTAAATAGTGAGGCTATTAGGGTTATCTAACAAGGAAACCCTATTTTGACTGCTTAGGCCCTAAGCAGCCCATGGACTCCCTCCTTAGAGGCCTTGGACGATTTCTAATGGGTTTCCCCATAGAATTCGTCCACTCCATCTTCTATGGAGTCCATTAGCCTAATATTCAGTTATCATACAATTAACAGTTCTAGTCCCTTAAGTTTAGTTAATGTCTTTTAGCCACAAAATTAATTCTTAATTAATTATTAACTAATATTAATTAAACAATATGATTTCTCCTTTAATATATTATTCCCATAATATATTAATAAATCATAATTATTCCTCTCTCTCTCTCTCTCCATAATTCATCCTATCAAGTTGCTTTGGTGAAGGCAACCCAAAAGGACCATGCACCATCGGGTCAAGTACATATCAAAATAGTTATTGACTTAGACACTAATCCAATAGGTATAATAGTATTTTGGATAGGTACGACAGAACACTAGTACTTTTGGACAAGAAGGGCAGTACACTAGTACTTTTGGATAAACACGACAAGTCAGAACTTATTTGTTTCGCACAAATCCCACTTAACATATCACATCCATTATCTCACACAATCCTATCACAGCATCTCTTATATTATTTTACACAGCCTGTTACTACCGAATCATTTTATCAAGTATAACATATAATTAGATCAAGTAACAATCATTTCATATAGTACACATATATTTTTACAGTAAACAAATAATCTCTTATTACCGATTCCTGTTATTCTTACTCTCAAATTCCTAATATTGATCCCAGGAGACCTACCCTAAAGGATCTATGTGAGTAGACAATACCGCTTCAGGAACCCGTAGCATTACATGTCAATGAGGCTACCCTGAGGGGGATAGATTACCCCAATGAACAACTTTCCTTTTCCTTGAAAAGTATGATCATTCACTCCACCAACTGGTGTTCCGTCGGAATACCTAGAATAGTCAGTGGGCCTCACCTATACTCTAGTAAATGATGGGTCCTGGTAATACAATGTGTCCCTTCTCACCATTATTTTATTTTCCCAAAAACCCTTCATTACCCGATGAGTATATGATAAAGTAATCTACGCAAATATAATCAAATCATATTATAGCACAAATATCAAGTACACATATAGTAAGCACATATAGAATTTAATAGATACTTCATATCTATGTGTAAGCTCAAAGTAACTATGTACTCACTTTATAAAAGTGGGTGACTAGAGAATTTGGCAACACTCCGCTAAACTCCTTGACTTTTGCTCTTGCGTGACCTAGATACGAATGTCACTAAGTCTTAGTCTGATTCCTTATGACTAACGATAGTCTAGATTCCTCAGCAATCCCGACGTTTACATCAATATCTATGAAGTAAAGAGCAAACAAGTAGGATCATATCAGTGGTAATGCATGTTTGGTATATAGAGTATAGTATTTGGAAATCTCACTTTAAACACCTTACTAAATCCAGCCTAGACATCATCACCATAAGTAGATCAATTTGTATAATGAGTTTCGAATTACTGATAAATCTTAATTATAGGTTTGTAATAACTAATATGACTATAGTAAAAAGTTATACTTGAATAAAATAAGTGTAGCTTAACTTATAGAGTAATTTAATGAGAACCGAGAATTATTCGGGCAGAACTCTAACTTAGGAGCTTCAATTCACAAGCTATCTAACATCTTAGGGCTTCGCCAACTAAAAACTTAAGCGAGAATGGGCTAAAGAAGTAATAAATTTGCAAGAGATTATTTGAATGGGTGTGGAAAGGCAGTGAAATTTGACTACTATTTATATGAAGATTTTTCCTACACGCCGCGCACATATCAGGTGCGCATCGCGCATCTTGTCGAACAAGGGTGATGTGGTAGCTTCTAGGTGGTGAAATGTGTCGAGCACTTGGTGGAGTGTCAGTGCGTGACGTGCACTCTGTAGTTGCACGTGAAGAATTTATGTTTCTTTAAAAATTCATATATTCTTAACACGAGCTCCGTTTTTTATGATTTTCATATCCACACATATCTATCAACAATATCTACAAGTTTTATTTAGACTCCATTGGCTAGTTTTCAATTTATTTTTAAAGTCATATTTTTGACAGACTTAAACTGTTAAAGTCCGTTAAAAACTCATAACTCTCTCATATGATATCCATTTTCGACTATCTTTATATCGACGACTAGGTATTGACGAGATCTTCAACTTTCGTTTAGATTGTTTTTCTAACAATTGACCGATTCCAATTTTGGTTTCTAAGTCGTATACCGCTATATTGAAATATTAGAAAAATCATAACTTCCTCTTATGAAGTCTGATTTAAATGTTCTCTATATGTACGAAATCATTGTCATATATATACTATAACTTCGGTCAAGATTATTTATACTAAATAATATTCTGTCAAAATATCGTTTTATTGCTTATTTGAGTTGTCCGTATCTGCGGGTGTTACATAAGTGATCGTTCTTAAAAAAAAAACATATCAAATTGAAAGCTAAAAAGAAATCATCTATGATGTAAAAATCAGGAAAAAAGAAGAAGAATATAGACCTAAGCATAATTCACAACAATCAAATATTCATGCATGAGAAAGAATTATCCATCAAGTATGTGAATAATAATCAACTAATTAATTACTCGTAGACATGGATAATAATTATTCTTAAAAATCCGTTGACTGTTATTTTCAAACACATCTATTTCTGTGAGAATCTGTTAACAACTAACATATACATTATTCAAAATCTTGTTCTTTAGAATCTTGTAACTATCAATTTAACAGCACAAAGTTAAAACTATGACAGATATAAACATCACATGTATAAATTGAAACGATCAAAAACCCTAAACCTAATTATCCCTTAAATCGACAACGTTCTTGTGGTTCCTAGAACATATACAATACAATGAGTCAATGAGAAATTGGTAACATAAAATAAAGTGAAAACAATAATAAACATAGTGAAAACAAGATTGAAATACAAATCTGTTGGCTATTCAATCTACAAGAATTGGAACGCAAAATACGTTATTGAATCATTGAAGGAGTCGGTGAATCATGGAAGAATTGAGTACAATCTAGTGATTTTTATGATTTAGTAACCTCCATTTTCATCCTCCAAATTTGATTTTCCAAAACTTACTCAGTTATCGACTTCACCCACTTGCCTACTCTTCAAGTATTCACAACCGACTAACTCACTTCCTCTTACCTATAATCGAGGAACCAAAAAACGAGTCAGAGATATCGCTTATGTAGCTGCGATGAAGTGCTATGTTCCAACCTTCCAACTTATGTACGCTTAAAGTGATGGAGGCGTGAGTGAAAATTAAAATTGCTAATGGGATTAGGTTTGGTCGATGGATTAGGCGAGTGTTACAGGTTCTATGCAAAAAATGAAGAAGATGGTTCGTCGATGGAGTGATGGAGGCGCCACTAGAAAAAAAAAATATCACAGCCTTTGGAGGGTTTCAGAGAGACACGTGTTTATAGAGAGAGAAAGACGAAAGAAGGGTTGTTACCGTAATAACCTTAGTTTTTCTTATATACTTCGATTCGATTAGTTTATGATACAAACCCATGATACACGATCTGGACAGTAGACTAATTCTTATGATTTCTTTTACCTAATCTTATGATTTCTTTTTCCATTATGCATGTTAGCCACGTTTCCCTTTTCTAAGGAATATAATGCTAGGTATTTCCTTCCATTTTCAATTCCTCGTTAGTTGTCATATTTCCTTTAAATATCTTGTAATTTGCATTGGATAATATAGCAGAAAATTGTTTCAATTATCAGTTGTTTAGTTGTTTATCTATCTCGTATCTTCTATCTCTCATATCTATTTTTACAGGGGACTCACCATTCATAATTTGGTTGTATCAATTGGTGCTTTCATCATCGTCTCAATGCTTCCAAAAACTGAGTCCGGCTCCACCTCCGACAACCCCAAGGCAACCCCCGACAACCCCAATGCCGCCCTCAATGATCAATTGCAGATTGTGATCCACCTTGCCACCGCCACCAACCACCGCCTAGACACCATCACCACTCTTGTTGCACAATCGGACACCATGAATAACCACTACTACAAAATCAAAAATAAAATATGGTTGAAAAAGCAATTAAAATACGGACATTGAAACGTATTCTAATAGAACGTGTTTTATTTAAAGAAGCAATAAAATACGGTTATAGAACCGTATTCTATTTAGTAGATATAATACGGTAAACTATGCATAGAATACGCTTGTAGAACCGTAATCTATAAGAATATAGAGTACAGTAATCTAAGTAGTAGAATACGATAGCAGAACCGTAATATATGAGAAGATTTAATATGCTAATCTAGGAAATACACTATGGTTGTAGAACCGTAATGTATATGTCTATTAATAAAATAATCAAAAATTAGATAGTTTTGAAACAAATTATACCGGTCTTCCGTTTGATACATGGATATGCGTGTTTATAAAGTTCAGAAATTTAGTCATGAGAAATTATAAAATTGACAACTACAATAAAAAATAAAAATAAATGAATCAGCTTTTACGAACAATAATAGCTTTTACGAACAATAATAATTGGTCATTCTAAATAATAAAAAGTAACTATAACAAAATAATAGTTAAAAATAAATACTAAGACACAATCATGCTAGACTCAAACGACAAAGGAGAATGACCATTGTTTTCATTACAAACCTATGACACCTAAAAAAAGTAAAAAACAAAGAAACTTCTCCTGTCTTTTTGCACCTTTTCGATTACTGTGGCTCCATTATTCAAAGTGGACTCGAACCAACCATCAGCAATGAAAAGCTAATCAAGAACCAAAAGTAAAGATGAGTCAAGATATTATATTTTTATATGTAAAAACAAAACATATGATACATGACTTTGTTTAAACCATAGAAGTTATTCAAAATAAATCCAATAATAACAAGTGTAGAAAATAGAACTAACCATTAAACACAGGCTTCATTTCATATATTTACTTTGAAAAGTAGTCATCCACGCATTGACCACATCGTCCAACAACTTTTCTAGAATGGGGTTTATATCATTCCAAAGGTTCTATATGCAGAATAATAAAAAAAAAACTCTCTTATTGAACAAAAGAGACGCTTTGGTGCAATAGGCAAAATGAAAAAACAATATTACAAAAGTTACTTACATTCGGGAATGCATATTGCCGATACATGACAAATTCACGCATCCATTTCAACACATAATAGCCACATTCCCATTTAGACAATTGTTGGTTGCACTAAAAAAATTAACATCACAGGTTTTCTTATGTATATATATATATATATATATATATATATATATATATATATATGAGAGAGAGAGAGAGAGAGAGAGATCAGTTACATCAGCAATTATCCATATCACTGGATGTGATGTTTCTAAATCTTCATTAAACATTTCAACAGCCCTAAAACAAAAAAACAAGTAATATTGTTACGATTTATAGAAAGAAATGTCATCCCAAAATATATATAAAAAATATCTTACTTTTCAACATGCTTTATGACTTTGTAGGAATCAATCGGATTTCCTGACTTCTTGATGGAATCCAAAATGCAACCACTACATTGATAAGGGCAAATCACAAGCAGCAACCAATGTCAACTAGAATGTTTAAAGTGCTTAGGATAAAAATCAATGAACAAAAAAAAACATACAAAAATTATTATAGTAGACTATAGTACCTTTGCCAATATGGGGCAAGAAAAAGTCTTTTTCTTGATGGAAATTCATTATTTCAGCGATCTCAATTACAACACGATTGTTGTGTTGGTTTGTCTTGTCCTGCTCATCATGGACACATAATGTTTTAGTGATCGACTATGGGTTTATAAATGCACACCTGTTAACCCCATTTGTTGCAAGAATGGAATGTAGCACTCTGAAACAAAATAGTATATATTATAAAAATAAAATATTTGAAAACTTTAATATAATGAAAATTAATACTCTTACATTTGATACCAAAGTATACAAGTGATGTCAATCTCTTCACTATTCAACATCTCCAAAATCACATCATGCCTAATGTATGTTTCAATCCTCCCCGGCCCAAACATACCAGGTTCTGACTCAACATGAAAATCTTCAACAAATTTGTTGCTTGTAAAAGTATTATACCATGATTGAATGACCGGTCTGCCTTGTAGTTTCTTTGGTGTCACAAAATTTTGTGTTGCCCTCTTTGCAATTGTTAGCAACCGCTTGGCTGCTTGCTTTTTTTGGTATTGTTGGACCTGCATTAACAGACCATTTGACTGTTACATAGGCTTCAAGAATTTCAAGGGACTAATACTAGTTTTGAGCAATTACCTGGTTATCCATAACAGAGGCAACTTTTTTAGTGGGAGGACTTGCATCTTTTTCCACCGATGGAGACGAGTGGGAGGTCTAGTAGATAGTCAAAGTAAGTGATTAATATAATTATGGATGTACTACTACAATATTAGATGAAAAATAAATGATATGCATGTATACCTTAGTAAGAAGAATCGCATGTCTTGGCCACTGAATAAAACTATAAAGTGCTTCCCCTAGGTTATCAGCATCACTGGTCAGCACAGGAATATGGAGAGAATGATAGTCACCATAGATTATATCTACTGATACGTTCACATGATCTTTTTGTAAAGGTGTCAAATGTACTATCCCATTTCCACATGGGTGGACGCGTCCCTTGGCACATCTTCTTTGCACCATGTCGTAAGGTAGCAACAATTCACACTCTGTAGGAACCTGAAACATACATCATGTAGTATATATGTAGCTAGTGCCTTTATATAAGTAATAATTTATGTTATACATATACATAATATGCACTGATATTTTATCTAATGCATCTACCGTTGGTGTCGATTCAAGACAAGTTTTGTTCACCACCGGGCTTGGGCTTGTAACAGTGCCATCATTATACTTAGCAATCTCATGTCGTAATGAGGCGATATTATCTTCCATGTCAGCAATCGATTTGGCATGTTCCTCTTGCTTAGCCTTCATCTCTTTCAAATCTAGTATCTCATGTTTTTTCCTATTTTTCTCTTTAATCCCTAGTATAGATTGCTTCAATCCAACATTGTGCCCGATTGCCCTCATACGACCAGGATGCTCTGGTCCTAAAACCTCAACCAATAGATCGGATCCTGGTCTAATCTCCAAGTCTCCTTGAGATACTTGCTTTTCTTTCTCTACATGTACATGTAAACAACATGATCTTGAGAACAAATACCGCATAAGAAACACTCTTTCAGGGAAATCATAGCAAAATTAAAATAAATGGATTATTAGTGTACAATATTATCCATTAAGGGCTCCATATCAGGTGTTACAATCAATGCCCCTGAGGAATCGCGTTTTAACCGAGCAAATATATAATCCCTTGCTCGTTCGCTTGATATCCGGTGGGCTTTTGTCAATACACTAGAATCCATCTCTTTCTCCCATCGAGGTCGCATGCCACGATACCCTTGTGGGCCTAAACGGGGCGGGTTCTTGTTCATCATCACACTTGCTGTTGCTTTCACTCTTATTTCCTTCATATATGAAGAACAAAATTACAAACATTACAACATAAATAAACTCACCAGTAAGAAAGTAAATGTGTCACTTCTTATGAGCTAATGGAGAAAATGTAGTAAATAATTACCAAGAGTTTCATACCTTAAATTCAGGCTTGGACTTTTGCTTTACAAAATCATTCCACATGTCTTTGTCTAAGTAGGGGTATTTTTCCAACGGATCAATGCGTTTGTCCATGAACTTGACAAGCTTAGACTTGTAGCTCCTCCATTGTTGATTGCAAACTTTAAGTACCTGAGCTTTGGTATGTTCCAGTGAGTCTGTAGTAAAAAGTGTATTGTAATTATTATTAACATATATGATTATATTCAAAATAAACACACATACCTTAATATTTAACCACAACTCTTCAATCTCAGGTTGAGGCACTTCATTCCACTGTTTTAGGATAGAAATCCTAGTTCTCACAGTGACTCCACAATAGGTGGTGAATTCAAATCTGTTATTTCCGATAGTTTTACCTAATTCATTGAACTCAATTTGTAAATGTACTAATTTGTCTTTTGGCTTATCCATTATAAGATAGACACTAGGGGTGTAAACGAGCCGAGCCGAGCCCGAGCCTAACCAAGCTCGAGCTCGGCTCGTTTAATTTTGAAGAAGCTCGAGCTCGAGCTCGAGCTCGATTCGAGCCTTAAAATGAAGCTCGAGCTCGGCTCGTGAACAATTTAGTGAGCTCGCGAGCCTAAACGAGCTTATACGAGCCTATATATAAATATATATATATATATATATATATATATATATATATATATATATATATATATATATATATAGGCTCGTTTAGGCTCATTTAGGCTCGCGAGCCCACTAGCTGAAGCTCGGCTCGAGCTCGTTTAATAAACGAGCCTCATATTTGGGCTCGAGCTCGACTCGGGCTCGTTTAATTCGATCTCGAGTCGAGCTTTTAGCGAGTCGATCCCGAGTAGCTCGCGAGTAGCTCGGCTCACTTACACCCCTAATAGACACTCCTCCCTTTCCTTTGTGGGCGACTCATTGTATTCCTACAGGAACAAATAAGATATCAAGACTAAATCAACTCTCAATAGTTGTTAGAAAAATTACATCTTATCAAGTCATAAAAACACAATACATATCAACAAAAAAAAAAAAAAAAAAACAGAGCAAATATCATTAATAAGATAATCATAGTACATATCAACAATAAAAAAAATAGCATTTTTCACTTGTTTGTCGTCTTACATACTCCTAAATTACTCAAAAACCAAAACTTCGATAATTTTATCACAATACCTTGTAAACAGATGACAAATTTTTAAATGTTCGTCTGGACTTTATCGTGCAAAATAGAAATTATATAGTATATGGAAAATATAATTTTTTTCTCTATACTTGAACCTGCGAACAATTAAAAGTAAGGATTTGACCGCAGACGGTTGTGGTGCTGCAACAATGGATATCAATTTTGAGAGGGAAAACTGAAAATTGACTGCTGTGAAATTCACTTCTGTAAAATTAGGGCTTAATTATGCCTATAAACTTAATATCGATTTTAAGAGGGAAAGTTCAAAATTTTGGCGGGCGAGATAAAAGGATTGTGCAGTTATCACACATGCTACATGGCAGTTATCAATCGAAACCGTATTTCTTATAAAAAAAAAATCGCAGACCCTAATTAATCTATGATGATTTTATAGTTAAAGTAAAGAAAGTGCTTTGGTGAAACCTGATATGTGCTAAAAGGGGGTTTTGAACAAAGCCACGTCTACGGCTCATAAATATTTTGGGTAAAAAAAATTTCCATAAATTTCCCAAATGCATAAAATATTAATTAAATATTGGTTGATGGTTAATCCTTTTATGCCGATTTTTTCTTAACTTTAATAAATAATTCATGTAGTAAATATAATTATGAAATTGATATTTAAGATGATGATCTAATAAAATAATGTATAAGGTAATAAGGCAGTAATCAAAGATAGTATATGACGTGAAGCATGCCACTACATGAAAGTTGAGTTTTGAAATGTATATTAGAATATTGAAATTATTTTGGATAATTTAAGTAATTCTTATTCAAAACACTTTCTAAGTTTGTAATTCCGATCCCGTTGGTATCACAATATCAAATTTGAGATAATTCAATAAAAATATAATCTCGATTTAAGGTGAAATTTGACATCAAACACATAATACCTTGCTTTCATTTTGTGTTCTTGAGATAGTATTTTGTATTTTTGCATAGAAGCATTTTATCCTTGTGACCTACTACCGTAAGTAAAAAGGTAATATATTATACAAAAGGAAAAGGAATAAATGTGAACAAAAAAACTTCCCCCCCTCCCCCCCCCCACCCCCCACACACACACACCCCTCCAACAACCCCATCCATCACCACAACTACCCTCCACCATTACTACCACCACCACCTCTACCTCTGCCACCACCATCTCCGCCACTAGTACCACCGCTGCCACCACCACCTCTACCACCACCATGGAAACCGCCTACAATAGCCACCACCACCACCTTTACCATCAGTGCGACCACCTTTACTACCACTACAACCTTTTCCACTACCACCCACCTATTCCACAACCATCACAACACTACCATCACTGCCTCCAACACAACCACCAGCTCCGATGGAGGTGGAGGTGGTGGTGGCGAAGGTGTAACACCCAAAACCTGGTATGTCTGAAAACCCTCAAGAATTTACGTTTTAGCATAATTGGTCCCTTGAGTATGATGGATAATAGTGGTATTCAACACATGGAAAGAAAGTTGTGGAACAAAAAACATGATGCAACACATGCTCACAAATCAAAAATGAAAGTGTTACATGATATCAAGCATCGATTAAAGAAGTTTACTAGATGGAAAGACGCATGGCTCTTCAAAACAAGGTTTAAGCATCATCGTGGAAGGATTAAACGCAACATAGTTGATTTTCACAAGGCCAAAATAGGTTTTCCACATGATCAGGTTCCTCAAAGTAAGGTGAGCAACCTCATGGTTGACTTTCAAAAAAGTCCACGAATATATGAGCCTTTATAGACATCACTCGAAGTAACTCGTCCCGCTATTAAACTTGGCAATTTTGGAACTTTATGGGTGTGTTCACTGCAAACCTTCACGAGACTTCACTCGTCCACTAGGGGTAACCTAGGGGTTTAAAAGGCTTGTTGCACGTGCCAAGTGCAATTGTGGACCCCGACGAAATTGAGGGCTAGTTAGTGTAGTTTATTTATATTTTATTTGATTTGTGTGCTTGTAGTTGTTTTTTTATATTATTTTAGGAATTTATCTTTAATGCATCGAGGACGATGCAATACTTAAAGTTGGGGAGGGGGTGTACACAAGAAAAAGATGGAGGATTGAAGAAAAAGTGATTTTTTTTTAAAAAAGTGAAGTCTTTTGGAAATCAAAACTGCCTCTACTAGCAGTACCATCAGGTGTGTCGTCCTCCACGTTTTTAATTTATTTTACATTAACTTTGAGGATTTTTTTTTTTTGGAAAATCAACTTAGGATGGATGTATTGCCATCTTGAACCTATTATTATTATTATTCTCACTTGGGTTGGTTCCATGAAATATGTGATGAGTTAGTAGCATCTCTATATCTTGAATGTAACTCATCAAGATGGAAAATGATAGAAGTTTTGTACATCGAGTCATAATATATATTAATATTGATTTTGTGGGTTGCTCTGCCGGTTTAGAAATATTTATATTTATTTAAAAATTGTTATGTGAAATGCCTATGTGTTTGAAAAATGAAGGTTTTTGGCTCGAGCCTACGATCTTTCAATTGAGGACCCAACCGAACAATATGTGTCATCACGCTCTGAGTACTTGGTTTTACTTACTCCTGTGCCTTTGGGGTTGGGAGGGGACTATTATTGTTTTCACTCAACCAAAAAGCATCAAAACAATATTGAAGAACTTAAAAGTATATATAATCAAACACTAGTCAAAATACAAAAATGATCAAATCCGATGAAGCCATCAAAGAACTTGAAAGATGCACAATCAAGATAAATATGAAGAAAAGTTCAAGTTGAAGATATTGTGTGAAACAATATGTGACTCCTCGATAGTGGGAGTATATGGGTTGGTCCATTAAGTGTTACCGACCGCGCTAACTATGTTAGTGAACCTTGAAAACGGGACTTTGGCAATGAGTTCAACTGATTACTTATGAGGTTGATTGTTGGTAAGGGTTCAAAAAGTGAAGGGTTTCAAACAACAAAGTAAAATAAGAATAACATGTGTTTTGAGTTTAAAAGTCTAGATAAGAAACTAATAATCCCCAAAATCAATATATTGTGATATCCAAAATATTGTGATAAAATGTACGAAATTCATGATTCCATTGAGTTTTTCTTAGGATAAGAGAGTAGGACTACACTAACTATTTCAGGCCAATCTCGGGACGAGTTTGGAATAAAGTTGGGGAGGTTTGATAAGTCTATTTTATGAATGTGTTAAATTGTCACAAATCTGTTGAATTGATGTATAATTGTCCAAGAATGACACCACTTTGATGAGTTGTTGGAATTCATATGCAGGTCAATATATCGTACTAAAAGTGTGCGGAACCCGCAAGAAAAACGAGAAAACTGAAGTTAACAAGCGTGGGAGACGAATTGCTAAAGGAATGAAGAAAAATGGTGCTGAGAAGTTTGACCACTCTTCAATGTTTTGATCATATCTCAAGATCTAGAGCTCCGGTTGACATGAATGAAGAAGTTATGGAAACTAGACAAAATTTCCTACAACTTTCATGTTTTGCGTTTTTACTGATTCTACGGTTTTCATCACAAAATAGGACCGACAAAGATAAGGGACGTCCTAGAATGCATCTAAGACGCCCGGATGCCTACCTGTTTTAGGCTATTTTTAAGTGCAAATCAAGGACGGCAGAAGACATGTAAAATGCCCTGAAGGACGCTTGGACGTCCTATATGACGTCTAAGATGCCCACTAGGATGCCGATGCGGAAAAAGACTCGAAAATCAGTTTTTCAGCACCTATTTAAAGGAGATTAAACCCTAATCGACTTTGGAGGGTTCCAAACACTTCCAAACATTCTCCAAACACATTTTTTATCATCAATTTCCGAATCTGATGCTACAAATCACCAAGTTCATCATCATTCAACAATTGAACTCGTTCATCCGGTGGATCTTCATCAAACTCCAGATTTGGTTACTTCTTCTCCAAGATTTCATCGTTCAATGATTGATTGATCATTAGATTTTATTAGTTTTATGATTTCAAGTTGGTTTATGAATTTTATTATGAATTACATTGTTTTTATTCAAGTTTTGTGTTTTGTGAATTCTATGGAAGGCTAAACCACCTAGGTTACTTCCGGGAATGTTTAGGATGATTTGATGAATGTGTTTTGATTATTACATCTATTCCAATCAACTTTGGTTATTATATGTTCTTAAATTTATGATTTCTATTAATGATAATTGAAGTTGGGTGTTATTCATGTGTTTAATTTTACAATTAGGATAGTTTATTGGCAATTCACTAATTGTGC